AGAGAGTCTTTGTTGGCAGCATTTGTGGATGTCAGTAGTGTGATGATCGAATGGTCATGGACCCCACATACAAATGTTGGCTGGGTAGAAACATAGCGGTTTAACCTGATGGCCTCAATGGAGGAGGAACCACTTACCTACACACGCCGCACTGGATCTGAAACTAAATACCTGGAGAGCTGGACTCCTTTTCCAGGGTAACGGCAGGTTCAGGGAACTGTTGTTTGCAGATCCACTGAACAACAGTTTGTAATACCCAGCCTTCTTGAATTCTATGGTGGGTTCCTGCAGGTGGGTGGTGGACTAGCAGACCACCAATTATAGCTCTCATTTTTAAAAAGGTGGTTCAGAGGGTGTTGAAACAAGGCTCAGACCAACTGTCAATTCTCACATTTAGGAGGAACAGTGCCTATTCCTTCGTGGCCATGGAACCATGGACCAGCTCTTCACCCTTGGAAGGTTACTGGAGGGGTCATGGGAGTTTATTAATTCAGACATGTGTTTGTGGACTTACAGAGAAGACAAACATGTCACCTGGGGTGTCTTGTAGGGTGCCTTGTACTCTGCGTGAGTAGGGGGTACCAGGGGCATTGCTACAAGCCATTAGATCCTTATATAACCAGGGTGAGAGCTATGTCCATATTAAGGAAGTCAAGCATGTTTTTATGGGATGTTAGGCCCTGCTAGGTTTGTACCTTATCATGATTCTGTTCGTGATCTTCATGGACAACATCTGAAGTGAAGGAGTTCAAGTATCTTGGGGTCTTGTACACAAGTACAGCTAAAATCAAGTGTGTCAACAAGCGTATTAGTGATATAATAGCAGTTATATACAGATATAATAGCTATTTTGTATAACAACAAAAATACAATGATAATATTATTTTTTTTAAACTTACCCCTACTTTAAATTTATATTTCTAATTATCCGTAGAGCATCTTTTTGAAAATATTTTACAAAGCCATCACACTTTTGGGGGATATTAATTGACAATTGATTAATTGATTCTAAGTGAATACTCTAAAAATAAACTGAATAAAAATGCATTATAAAATGTTTACTTATAAAAGTTAACATTTCAACCAAACCATAAACACTGCTCAGACAGATTAAGGTAAGTAGAACTAAATTGTCAACAAGATATCAACTAAAAATGTGTTTTTCTGAATGTTTAAGAACACCATTAAAGGGTTAAAAACAAATACAGCAGATTTAAGCAGCATATGAAAAGTTTTCCTATACTTATATAAGCACATAAATTAAAAAACAAAACTTTTTTAATTACTCTACAATGGAGACAAAAGGTCTTTTTGTGGGTGACAATAAAACTTTGTCACTACTTTCTGAAATGTCACCGATGTCAACGTGACATTTAACCAACACGTTAAAGTTTTGTTAATCGCACCTATGGTTTAGGGTGCATAAGCTGGATAGTAACTGGAGAAAAAATGTGACTCGCACTCCTAAAGGCAGCCTTCATAAGTGTAATCATTCCATTTATTTGCATTGGCTGTAATATTCTGGCTATCACTTTCTGTATGGCTGTCAGTGTTGATGGATAACCATTGCTCTGGCTGTCGAAGGAAAATCTTACCACAGGACTCACTGTGGACTTTTGAATCTGCTCTTAACAAGTGGAAGGAGGAATGTTTGTTTTGTTGTTTTTGTTGTTTTTGTTGTTTTGGATGCCAGTAGACTTATGAACATTCCTGTTATACACTCTAAAGGACCAGTTTAGTTGCTACATCTATTAAACCACCTCTCAATATTATGTAATTCATTTCAACTGTACAACACGCCGCTGCCTCCAAAATAACCACGGAGCTGAATCAACACTGGCAATCTAAACATTATAAATGTCTGGCAGGTTTTATTAATGAAGCGCTGTTGTATTTAATTGCACAGGTGTACCCAGTAAAGTAGTAACTGTGCGTGAAGAAGATCATGTGGTGCCTGGAGAAGTGGATATGCTGTAAATGTATGCCCCAAATAATTTTTAAAGGGACCACTTAGCAAAGGATAAATTTGTTTTTTAAAGCTGCAGTACGTAACCTTTATAAAAAAAATCGTTTGGTTATATTTTCTGACCTCTCCTCAGCTGTCGCATGTACTACTGTCAGGATAAAGTGAAAGTTTCAGAAAATATGACCAAAAGTTTTTTTTTTTTTACTGCAGCTTAAACTTCTGCTGCTAGACTTCAGGCAGTGAGGATCATTATGAAATCAATATTGGCCACAGAAGAATCAATACTGGCCCACAGAAGGGTGAGACAATGACATAATTATACATTTTAAGTGAAGTACAGTATTCCTTAATCCTTACTCACTCCACTCGTGAAAATTGGACTATGCCATGCCTTCACCATCCTAGGAAAAACATTTTTTTGGCCTTTACGCCTTTTATTGATAGAAACAGCTGAATATTGACAGGAAAGGGGGGCAGAGAGAGAAGGGATGACACGCTTGATGTATGTGGATTGTCAGTTTACTTTATGATTCTGTCTTTTCTGTATTAAGTATAGTTAGACACTGACAGACAAACAATGTCTGATGATGAACAGTCAATCATTGTGCTAGTAGTTTTTGCATTGAGATCTTACAGTGTGATGACTACTTTGTTCCAATGATAGAATGTACATATGTGGTATGCTCATCAGACAAGTATAATATCCATCCAGGTGTGCAGCACATATTTGCAGAGTATTTCCAGCTCAATACAACTTGCGTGGTAAAGCTGGGCGATATGGCTAAAAACTCATATATACATGTAAGATGTATAGGCTACTATAGGACATACATATTAATAATAATGATAATGAAATAATAAAAATACATTTCATTTATAGAGCATTTTAAAGAAGCTCAAAGACACTTCACATGAGTTAAAAAGGAAAAGAAAAATAATAATAATAGTAATAATACACTTATAAATTATAGCAATATCTACGACACTCAACAAGAATGGATGAATGCATTTTCTTAAAAGATGGCTTTACAGGGATTTTAATTAAGACTAACCAGCCTTAATAGCGGGTTGGAAAGCACTGTTTCTCTGGTTGACATTTCTGTTTCACCACTTTTGTTTTTTATTGGTAAAGCGAGACAAACAGGTTATTTAACAAAGACATAAAAGACAAAATAATACTGCTTCCACTAATCATACTACTACTACTTCTACTACTACTATTACTACTACTAATAATAATAATAATAATCACACACATATACGTACGTATGTATGCTGGTCTAATGTGCAGACACCTGGAAAGAAGAAGTTGGTATATAAGCTTGTTTTGTAAAAATGCTAAAACATTTATTTGTATTTTGAATTGTAAAAAAAAAATTATATGTATATAATTCTCTTGACTTATATGTATGTCAGGATTTCTCAAAATAGCGACTTAATATCTAAAATACAAAGTCATTATTTTGAGAAGGTTTTTCATAATAATGAATTAACGTTCCATGATGGGGGTTTTTTTCAGCACATTGGCGGAAATGGGCGTCCATAGTATGAGTTTCCAGTCGGACGTATTCCGGGGAACACAACCCGGTTCACGTGGGGCAGTCGGTGCAGGGCTGGTGTGAGACTGT